TTTTTTTTTTTTTTTCTCTTTTTTTCCCCCCTCTTTTTTTCCTTTCACCCAAAGTGCTCCCTCTAACCGACCGGCAAGGTGTAACGATGGCGTTATCCTTCCCCTTCGCTCTGTAATCTTTCGCTCCTCCGGGGAATCGCAAAGTATGTTTCCTCGCTCTGCTATGTTTTCGATTCTCTAACCTGAACTTTCCATTTAAGGTTTTTCACCCGATTCCCGTTTTATGACTCCCGCTCGCGAACACCAACGTTAAAGCGTTTTTCTTCATTCTAATTGGAGTCTCCTCTGCATATCCGTCTCATAGACAGTTTACAGGCTTTGATTTCGTTCCCGCAGAAACGATCTTTTTGCGATGTACCGTCTATTATGTGTGCGTATTCGGACTCTGTTGTACTTTTAAGAGAAGCTCACAAAAGAGCTATGTATCGCGATATAGTGTTATAGGTTTATTACTTTTGAAGGATAGCGGAACTTGCAAAATGTTTTGATGATTGATTAGTTTCAAATAATAGTAGATATATTACAATAGTAAATAATGTTCGTGTCGAAAATTGTTTTTGTGGAAAAATGTAATGATTCGAATATTGGAAAAAAGAGACAGAAGTAACGGATACAGTGAGATATGTAACCTATATTCGATAGAAAATTATCGATATTTTAAATTGTTATAATTTTGTTAAAAAGAATCATATAACAATCGAAATGTAGCAAATAGAAAATCAAACATTTTTTTCTCAAATTTAAAAAATTCAATCGACTTTAAATATTATAAAGAATTGAATTCTCTTTACTAAAATTAATTATGCAATTTCTTTTTCAGGAAGTTATTGAACTTTGAATATTATAATTAGACAACGAAAGTTCAAATAACGTTAAATTTTCATCTTTCTCGGCTTGAACATTCAAAGTTCGATAACTTGTTAAAATTATTTATTTTAATATATGGAAAACAATTTAATCATACTATATATTTACACAATAATAATATAGATTTTATTTTCGTTCCATAAATGTATTTAAACACAATCGATGTTGTGCTCGTGAAACCAAGCGAACAAATATTTAAATTTAATATCACGAAACGAGTTATCGAATCAATTTTTCGTTTGATTGACATAGCTAATCCAATAATTCCAATACATGACAAAAATGTATGCGTTTACTTCAGATATTTGCCATTTTACATTCACGACAATTTTCTTTTCTTCTTTTTATCTTTGCAAAATCATATACAATTATTTTAATAGAGGGCAACATTCTATTCGTTCGAGGACTGCAGCTTAGTTCAAACCTAAATTTACTTTTCGAAGTGGTTCATTCCTTGCAATTATGTCATCACTTCTGCAATTTATCTGTTTCCACGCGAACTATGCGTTGTCTATTAATCAAGTCATCTCCGACTCTCTCACAAGTTCCTCTACTTGGCGGATACAAGCAGGTTAATTAGTATTCTTAGCCTACTCATTGCTGGCCACGTTGAACCCCAGTTGGCGTATTAACAGCGTGCGTTACACGGTAATTTCGGTGTCTTTCTCCTCCTCTTCACTATCCATTTCCTTCTCTTTCTCCTACTTGTCCCTCTTCGCAGCCACTTCTCTCGATCTGCTATTTACTACCTTCCACTTGTTCCGCGATATTGCCACGCACGTTTCCCTTTTTGTGCCACGCGAGTAACACGCGGGAAACAGATTTCTGAATCATTGCATGCTTCTCAGTCGCAGCCCAACTTCGGTTAGTCAATTATAATAATGTCGTTTTTTTATAGTGATGCGCTCGAGATTGACTCGTGCTTATTAGTGGTAATGCTTTGAAACTCGAAGTTCGTTATAGTATTCATTTTAACACTGGAACTATGATTTTTGATACGTGGTTAAATATTTTGCATATGAATGAGTGGAATTAATGTGACACATTGGAAATAAATGGATACATATAACTATATTTATAATAAAATTCAATCTTAATTTTTTTTAAAAATATTTGTATTTTTTCAATAAAACAAAAAGCTTGAAGTTCATTATTTTAGTTTCACTATTAATTAAAAATAATGTAAAAAAAATAAAATCAATGTTAATATTAAGTGTATGGTGATGAATGTATTTTTAATGTTAATTATATATTTTTAATGTTAATTATTTTATAATAGTAATTGAATATTTGATTTAATTTAGAGTAACTATTAAATTTGCAAGTTCTTTTATAATAATTGAATTAACTAATTTGCAATTTTTTAAATTTTCAATCTTTCAATAAGGTAATAGAAATGTAAAAATACTATAATCATATTCCTGGATATTCATTTTTCTTAGATAGGAATTTTTATTTTTTTAAATAAAAAAATGTTTTCATTAATATTTATTATAAAATTTGTTGAAACTATTTTCAGATGTTACCAGTTTTGTTAGTTTTTGAAATTTTCTGCTGCGTGAATTTAATAGCAAATAAAATAACAACAATCGAAACAGTATATCCACTCCATCCGTTTTGTAATAAACTTTTAAACGAAAAACCAAATAGATACTGAGTGGAACTACACAACGTGCTTGATAGAAGAAAAACAAATGATTGATAAGAACGATGGGTAACAATTGTACTGGTAGAATGTAACGATTTTCGATACTCGAATTATATTCAAATAATATAATATTTTCACAAAAAGATAATTGTATAACATAATTTATTAAACTTTATTATAATTAAGTATATAAGTGAACAAAATAATAACTAATAAAGTTTGAATTTATAATATATAAATTAATTTTGATAGATATGATAGAATCATTTTTAAAGACATATTGTCGAAGAATTGTATTAAATTCAAATAATATTTTTATCATAAATATAGAATATAATTTGTTCATTATTCTTTTATTTTTAGATTTGTGAAAACAAATACATATCTATACATATATTTATACATATAAGCAAAAATTAAATTCATAATATACAAATTAATGTTTGTAGTGTACAATATAGTTATAGATTTTCAAAGAGATATTATATATAATACGGATACTCGTATTAAATTCAAAACAATGTTTTTTATGAAAATACAATTTATTAATTATTCAATGATGACATTATCTCTAGAAAATATTTCAATATAAGTGGAACTCACCAATCCAAAAATCACAATTAGAGATTAAAAAAACTACATCAATTTTACATTAATTCTTTTACTTATGAATCAATTCCCAGAAGATATATCTTGTGAAATAATTATAAAATATAAAACAATAAAAAATTAAATTATAATGAAAGAAACTATATAACGTGGTAACAAAATTAATTATATACATTTTCTTATTATTTTTATTAAATTTTTTAACGGATTGAAAATATGAAACGAGATATAATAAAAAATAATTAATTATTCGTTTAAATTTGCGAATACACGCACACATCCTGTAACTAAAGATCGAATTTATAATATAGAAATTAATATTTGCCGATAAGATCGAATCAATCACTTGGAAAACCTATCATTTTATCCGCTAATCTCTATAATCACAATTAAACGCTCTCATGCGATAATTTCATCGATCAAGTTACAAGGTTTAATTGATATTTTCCGTAACTTCCTGATTCCGCATCATACCGTATAAAATTTCACACTTGTATAAGATTCTTTAAACCGAGTGATTTTTTTGATTTTACATCGAGTTAACAGAAAATTAACATCCTCGCATAATCCGGCATTGAAACAGGTTCGTCCACTTCCTAGAATTCCTTGATTTTTATGTCAGAATTATCATTCGTATATTTTCCAAACATCAAGTAATTCCTCGTCTGATTCATCTTCGTATTTTCCAGATCCTGATAGCTTCTTGATTACTTGATATATTTTCCAATAACAATCTTTAATATAAATTTACGGCTTATTTAAAGTATTCACAGTATGTTGAGATTTTATATATACATATAAACTTTACTAGTTGTACCAGTTTATGCAAGTAAAAGTCAGATTAAAATATCTTGCAATGAAACTTCCATGAATGCTTTATTAAGAAGCTATAAAGAAAATATGAAAAATAAAAAGAAAATAATTAAAAGCTATTTTGTAAAAAGTATATTTTAACTATAAAATAATTTAATTATTAAATTCATTTAATTTCAATTGATAATAATGTAGCAAATAAAAATAATAGTATATTAATATATTATGAATTAATAATATTTTCATAATTTTCATTAATTCTTATTAAATAATAAAGAAATTACAAATTATCACTACATTACAGAAATTAAAATAAATAATAAATGTTATCTAATCACAATTTTTGAGATGTTTTGATACATTATAAATATTTATTATTTAATTAAATTGATATTTCAGATTATTTAAATTCCAAAATCTTATTTATTTAATATCAAAGAAATCTTTTTTTCCATATGAAACGATAAAATTCTTCATCATAATATTATAACAATAAAAATTTATATAATGCAATATTATAAGTGATATGAAAAAACAGTAAATGATAATATCGAAAGCCAATATATTCAATACACAATTTAACACATAAACATATTTTATGATCTTAATATTACCAATGATCTTTTTCTTTTTTTATTTCTCTTCAATAAATATTAAATTACGAATATATTTCATATTTTCAATAAAGAAAAATTAAGGAATAAATTAGACATATTATTAAGAAAATAAAACAATGAATTTTATACTATTTTGAAATTCATGACTTCAATTATTTTGCAAAGAAAATATTTTACCATTGAATGGTCACGTTGGATTGTACAAATTACACGCTTAAAGTCAATGTATTTAAATACGTTAAATGAAAGCTTTAAATAAAAGGCGAGAGATAAAATGGGAAAAATGTCAAAAGCCGACAAAAAAGCGAATACTAAGAGGATTATGGATAAAAAGGCAAGACTAATAATAAGAGTGTATTTATACGAAAACGAAATGGAAATAAAACAAAAATGGAAAGAGGGAGGAAAGAGAGAAACAGGGTTAATAGCAGGAAGGGGAATTGTGAGAATTCTCAGCTTGCCGCGATGGCACGTGCTTTGGTCTCACGATGTAAATCAGCGCATGTGCCTCTTCATTCGTAGAGTTCTCTTTAGTCGGACTCTTCGAATCGAGATTGGATGATTGATGCTTTTGCTGTTATTTTTTAAAATAAAAAAAAAAACTTATAAAAAAAGTGCTTATAAAAAAAGCTTTGGAAATATTTTCACAAAGTTAAAAATTTAATCGTCAAGAATCGAAGAATATTATTTTACATAAATATCAATGTGAATATATTAAAGCATCGATTGTAATAATTTGTAACATGATAAATTTCATATATAATAGATTATGCTCATTATGCAGATAATTATCACATAGGAATTCTTATGTGCGAATTTAATTAACAAATTATATGATTTATGAAACAATTATATAATTTTTTTAGTAAAATATGACTTTGAAATTAATTTTTAATATATTTCAATGTTTTTTTCATTTTTATTAAATATAATTTTATAATGGTGCAAAATATGGAATATAAAATTATAAAATATTCAAATTTTAATAATTCAATTTTATCACTCTAGACAAAATTATATTCAAAATATGAAATATGAATAATATTGAAATATTAAAGATTTTTTTTTGCCAAAAAAGACAATTGATAGTGTATATAATTATTATACTCTACATGTTCAACACAAGAAGTCAGAATTTTTAGATTTTTAAATTTTTTAAAATATGAAAAAAATCAATTGTTACGAAAATAAAATATTTTGTCAAATATTTTATCTCATATTTTTACTTATTTTGATACAAACAATTCTTTCTTTTTCATTTATATTATATGTTACGCTTCACTCTGTATAATTAAGCAAACAATACATAATTGAATGCAACGTATTTCGAATAATTGAATTTTGAGCTTGAGAACTGAAATTCCAATTCAAATACACAGTCAAATACCTATGACATGACGGTCGATTCACGTTCATGAAGCCCATTTGCTTATCGGAATAATCCAATTTTGGCTATGATGTTGCATCGCGATTCATCTCCTTCACTCCGCTCGATTTCGAACACGTAAAGCGTTCCAATGTAATAACAGGCTGCAAACAAGCCGGTTAAACTGTTAAACTGTTACGTTCACCTTCTGCACGTGCGTAATTGCAAGAAAACACGCTATTCTTAATCAATTTACCGCAACAGAATCGATCTCATAAATTATGTTACGAATAGAATTCCATAAAGTAAAACTAGCTATAATGAACTTTTATTTTTCAATCGCACGAAATTCAGTATTAAATTGTAAAAGGAATTTTAATTTGAAATTGTCGAGTAAAAAGTTGATTGAGACTTGATTGAAACGAAAAACGTTCTCTTTTAAATCGAATAAAATTTTATAGTTCTCTTTGACTTTTTTATAATTCCAATTTTAGAAAAGTCGGTATTTTTCTGTAATAGTATTTCGTTTTTCAATTTTCAAAAGGTATGATAAATATTGGATTGAAAATTGTGTCGGTTGTTGACTTTGATAAGAAAGAATTTTATAAATGGTTCGTATATTACTGTTTATAATAAATTCATTTCATACGAATTCTATTTTGTATTCATAAAATATTTCATTCTTGTTTGAATTGAGAGTTGTAACAGCTAGATGACAAAACAATTTGTGTCTACAAATCTATAAAATATTTTTTTTAACAGATTTTGAAATAATCAATTTAAAAAAAAATGTTAACTTTCAATTTTAGAAATATTTTGTGCTTTTATAATGATAATTGTATTGTAATCTAGATTCCTAACAAGTCTATGGATTCTTCTGAATAAGAGAAATAGTTTATAAACATGTAAATATGTTATATACTAATAATGGTCAAGATTAAAAAGATATTCAAAATCTATTTTTACTGATATTTTTTAAAAATTGAATATCTAGAAAAAAATATCATTATATTATTTTCAATAAAAAAGCAAAGCATGCAGTGATAACACTTAACAATAGCATCTTATATATTCCTCAATATATTGGAATTATAATAAATTCTTTTTCTGAAAAAAAAAAAAAATGGTCTGTTGCAGATTCATATTAATATCAATAGATCTTTAGATCCAGAAATTAAAGTTTGGCTAGTTTTTTTCTCATTTTTTTTTTTGAGTCCTTTCATTGGTACTATTCTATTCATGGTATCACTGGTAATACAGAACATTCAGTAAATAATGCACCTTTTCTTATCTCAAGGTTTCTTTGTTATCTTACTACATTCTGTAGTTTTTTAGATTCTGATTCTTTTCATAAAATTTTTAAAAATAATGTATTTTGATATATAATTTTGTTGACAAACTAATTTGTCGATTTGTTTTTATCCAAATTATCTCTTTTGATACATGTACTTATGGTATTTATCTCCAATATATATAATTATCAGTAATAATAATCATTAATAATTAATTAATGATAATTAATAACAATTTATATATATTATATATTTATAAATTTTCTCTTTAAATGAATAATAAAAAGATCAATAATTAAATTATATTTCATATTTTTTAACTTGGAAGAAAATAAATAGTAAAATTTTCTTCATGGTATTTTTCTATGCTATTTTTCTTATATAGCATAAAAATGTACAAACCAGAAAAAACTTACCAGTTCTAAGAATCCAAAAAATGCACGTAATTTTTTCGCCAATAACCATGTTAAAATTTATAAAAAATTGTCTATATAAATATTGTACACTATATCGAATTACGTTTTGTAACATCTTAATTCTTAATAGTTCGTCCCACGTGCACGAAGAACGAAACGGCAAGTAGAGACGGTCGTTGAACGAAGCACAGGTTGCACGTGCGATGCATGTCGCCTGTGGCGCGCTTCGCTCGAGCAGCCGCAAATGGCAAGAGCAATGCTAGCACAGTGCACGACAGCGAAGACTGTTATGTAAGAGATGTGTCAGAGCTGGTAATATGGATGGAGGGAGAGAGAGGACACGGTGGGACAGGTGAGACAAGGAGCGTGCGAAGAAAACGCGAAGGATATAAAGTGGCGGACAAAAGGCAGTTTAAAAGTCGGCGGAAAATAAAATACATTCGCTCTTAAAGAAGAAACTGTCGCCGCTCGCGGTAGTTCTTCCTTTTCAGGTTGTAAATTTAATATGGTTTAAGACGGGCCCCTCTTGGGTTATGGTATAAATTGGAAAGTTTTCAGTTTCAAAATAGAGGCATTTAAATTTGCATCAAGTCACATGATTCGGCTCAGATTTATAATGTGACTCGAATGTGTCACATAATTACGTATGTCGAAACTGCGCGAGAATGAAAGTTACCGATAGAAGATATGATAGGAATGTGAGGCTTCAAAAAATAAATAAATAAGATAAATTAAAAAAAATTCACTATAAATATTTTGAAAAATATCATGTGAAAGTAATTGTATAAATATATTATATTTTAAAGAACGTATATATTTTTTATTTTTTGAAAATTAATAAATAAAAAAGTTTTAAATGGCATACAAATCCTAAATATAATAATATGATTAATTTATTTTATCTAATAATCATATACATATTTTAAATTGCATTCTATACAATTATAATAAATTAATAGTAAACATAATAAATAATGGATTAAAAATTAAAAATTTTATTTTTTTCTAGGCATTTTTTCCAAATTTGTTCATGATATTTAAACGAATAAATGAAATTTAATTTATTATTTATGAATAAATTTCAAAGTATCAAAAACATGAATACATTAAACAGTGCCAAATATAATATTTTGAAACTATGATTATTGTATAATAACTTATATATGTTTTTTTAAAATCATAAAATAATTAAAAATAAATATTATTTAAATATACGCCAAATTTTTAACTTTTAAATGAAAAATATTAATGACAATAATTAAATATTCATTGTCGATAATTTTATTATTATATATAGATGAAAATTTTAATCTTAATCTTTTCTATGTTCTTACGAAAAATTATAATAGAGAAATGTAAAATATATGATTATAATTTAATAAATAATATGATTATTATTTAATAAATGAAAAAAAAATCCAATATTCTTATTACTAGATACTAAATTCTAATATTAAATAAAATCAGTATATACATTTTTTTATTATGAATATTTTATCTTTTTGCAAAACTAAATTTTTCATTAATTCCTGATTTTTATTTAAATTTTTATTTAAAATATTAGTGCAAAATTTTTTATTTTCTTATGTAATATAGGATATCTTACGAATCATTTTTTTAAATTTAATTTAATTTAAAATATTTTTTCCATCTATTTATATTCAATCAATTTCTTTTGTGAAAATTTTCAAATCTCAAACGAAAAAATTTTATTCTCTTTTCATCATATAGAATCCCTGATCAATTATCCACGATATATAAACTTTTATATTTAACACCGATATTATTTTACTACATGAAAAATTATTAAACATTTCAATAAATCGAAACCAATTTCAACAAACAGATATGAAACTTTCGAATAGCTCGAACAATATATACACATTTTTACAATTGAATTCTAAATAACCAATCAAACTCGCATTCCTATGATGCACTTCTACATACTACGCTCTCCTTATAACAAATTCGAATCTGGTTTTTTACAAGGTTAATAGAATCTACAAACTATAGGCGTGACAGGGAAAGGGTTGAAAGTAGCGCGGTTGAGAAAAAGTGGAAAACTTATAGAACGAG